GCCACAGTGCCTGTGCCAGCTCCAAGCCTGCCAGCCCAGAGCCGCAGTCACTGCCCCTGACCCAGTTGGGTAGCAGGTTTAAAACTAATAAAAGAAAGTTCTTCTTCACACAGCGTGTAGTCAACCTGTGGAACTCCTTGCCAGAGGAGGCTGTGAAGGCTAGGACTATAACAGAGTTTAAAGAGAAGCTAGATAATTTCATGGAGGTTAGGTCCATACAAGGCTATTAGGCACCTTCCTGGTCCAGGGTGGAGAACATGGACCTATTCAGGTTTGGGGAGGATGCCCCCAACGTCCATGATCTCCACACTAGAGGGAGGAGCGTGGCCGTCTATGGCAGGATAGCTGGCAGCCTGGCCACCAAAGGCCACATGCGAACCCAGGAGCATTTTTGCATCAAAATCAAGTTGGTCCAGTGAGACCCCCAACCCTGAGCCCTGAGCTTCCCCTCCCCCTTCTACTCCTTGCTTCCCTTTTCCAGCTCCCTCCTCCCAGGTTTCCCCCTCCCTCTCCCACTCTCTCTTCTCCCCTCTCTCACCTCCTTTCTCCAGTCTCACCAGAGTTTCATTCCCTCCCGTCCCAGTTTAGTTAAATAAAGAGAGTTTGTGTTCATAATAATACGTGTATTTTATTTGACGTCAGGAAGCGGGGTTGGGGGGGTAAGTGGAAGGAGGGAGAAATGAGGCTTGACAAGCTCCCAATGGGGCAGACCAGAGAGGCTCTTAGTGCTCCTCAGGGTGGAAGTTCTCCTGCAGGGCCTCCTGGATACTGACAGCCCCCTGATGGACCTCCCGGACGGCAGCCTGCAGAAAGTGCAGCCAGGCTCACAGCAACGCATCCAAGAGAAGCACCAGAGTGCCCAGGGGCAGCTCTGGCTCCATGTTGCAGAGTGCTGTGGTGTCCCGAGTGAGGGCAACCAGAGCACGCCGAGACAAAATGTTTTGCTGTCCCTCATCAAGGTAGGCAAGCAAACAGGGAAAGCTGAGAACCGGCTGTCCGGGCTGGTCCCTTAAAGCGCAGGCCTCAGAGAGCCTCAGGCAGCAGCCATACAAAGTAACTGCTGACCTGATGCCCTGCCGGACGTGGCTCTGGCCGCCTTAAATGTGATTCAGCGTCCACTCAGTGTGGATGCGCTATTTAGAAATTAGCAAAACGCTATTTTGAAATGCATTTCGTGTGTAGATGCATTTTTTTTAAATAAGCTATTTTGAAATAACTCCATAGCTTTTGAAATGCATTTCGTGTGTAGATGCATTTTTTTTAAATAAGCTATTTTGAAATAACTCCATAGCGTAGACATACCCTAAGGTGCTACCGGACCACTGTTGGGTTTTTTTTACATTTTTTTTTTTTAGTTACAGACTAACATGGCTACCCCTCTGTGACAGTTTTGCAACGTGAGCCTTATTCTAGCCAGATTCAGTGAGCAGGGCCTGCTTCTTGCTCGTGATTTAATTTTGCTTTATAGCAGCAAGATTTGGCAACAAATTTAGTTCAGGCTTCACACCTCCACTAGGTTTCTGAAACAAGGGCCTATGTTTCAGCCCGGCTTCCAACTAGAGCTCTAAGCATTGATAGTTCATCTGACCCCACAAAGAACTAATATCATCCCTGGTTTTCTTACTAATCAACTGTGATTTTGAAATGTCCTCAAGTGCACAGAGCAGCCAATTCCTCTGTCACTCAGCACAGAGCGTGAACGTTCTCCTCTCCCTTTGGGAAGGCCTTAATTGTCGTTTGCTCCTAAAGCTGGATAAAAACACAGAAGTGCAGCAATGGACAGAGGGAAATTGGCTTGAGGGTCTCCGGTCTCCAGCCTGTTTTCATTCACATGCTGCCTCTGCCCCAGGGGCTGAGCAAGCCCCAGTGGGACTGCACAGAGCTCTGTGATAAATGGGGCACAGGCCTGGCTGGTTGGGACGCTGCTGTAGACACTGGGCTGAGAGAGGTGGGGACGCGGCTGCCTGAGGGGGGTTCCAGGGAAGACACGTCCCTCTCAGCACTCACAGGTACCAGCTCTGGCCGAGGGCTCCCCTGCTCAACAAGTGGAAGGCGGGCGTGGTAGGACAGGGAGACAGTCTGGGGCCTTTCTGCTCTGCGGAGCTTTAAACCTCCCAGTGCCCTTGTTACAGGAAATGAGTTTGCTCAGGTATCATGAGCCAAAATGTGACTCCTGGGTGTGCCCCCGCTGCCCAGACCAGCTAACGGCCTCCCGCCACGAGGCGGCTGCATTTCTGTGGCCGAGTGGGTATTTCCTGGGAAAGCTGTAAGTAGATGCACAATACGATGGCAACCTTTGAGGCCCTGGCCACATAAATCGCCCCTTGGAGTAAGAGCTGAAAAAAGACCTCAGGAGCCGTCTGTGTGCGGATGGACAGACACTGTCACCACCCCAGTTTGAATGTCAGGGCTCTGGCTGGTTTCTGAGGCTAAGTCTAGGGGGTAGGCTTCTTTCCGAAGAAGCTTTTCCAGAAGAGAGCATCCACACTGCCAAAGCTCATCGAAAAAGCCATCGGCAGGTGAAACTGGATTTATTTGACACGTCCCATGTTCCATAAATCATGCTGTTGCCTGGAATTAATTATATTCCTAGACTCTTTTAACTAATTCCATACCAAATTCTACACTGTTTCCTCACCTTGTCCAAACTTTTCTTTCAAACTTTCTGTTTATTTTAATAGTTTGCATTTGACAGAGAACTGTCCCATGATTTCTCTTTTTTGCTTCTGCTGCTGCCTGGCAGCATAGTCTCATTCCAAATGAGATGTGCGGTTAATCAGCCAATTCATATCGCTGGTGCTCATTTCTCAAAGGTTCTACTGTAGAAGCTGCTGAACATGCTTCTTGACAGTTAATGGATGGAAAGTATTTCTTCAGTGCCTCATGCTATTTCTTTCTGAATGCAGAACAATGCTGTTTCTTGAACACATATTTTTTATGGAATATTAACACGTTTCCTTTCTCCCACTAGGAATTGGCCAAGCACTTTTCTTGGATTTCTTTTGTTCTTATTATACATAATCTCCTTTTGATAATTCTTGGCCCTGCCAAGCATGAATTTCCCCCTGATTTATTTAATATCTCATTTCAATTGTCATAATTTTCAGTTTCTATTGCTTGCTGTCTGGTTTCCCTTTTTCCCATTTGTTAAATATTTTATCCCCTACTATCTGCTGCTTTCCTTTCACCACTAAACTCTGGTTTTCTCCAAAATTGTCTGTTTCCTCACATTTGGAATCTTGGATTTGTAACAATCCAATACGATTTTCTTCAGTAACTCTTAATTTGTATTCACATTTCTCTATATAATTTTTTCCTCCCAGTCGTGTTTGATGATAATTTGTCAGATTTTTGGAATTAGCTGTTGGAAGGGCTAAGTGTTTATAGGGTAGCAGGTTTAAAACTAATAAAAGAAAGTTCTTCTTCACACAGCGTGTAGTCAACCTGTGGAACTCCTTGCCAGAGGAGGCTGTGAAGGCTAGGACTATAACAGAGTTTAAAGAGAAGCTAGATAATTTCATGGAGGTTAGGTCCATACAAGGCTATTAGCCAGGGGATAAAATGGTGTCCTTGGTCTCTGTTTGTCAGAAGCTGGAGAGGGATGGCAGGAGACAAATCGCTTGGTCATTGTCTTCGGTCAACCCTCTCTGGGGCACCTGGTGCTGGCCACTGTCGGTAGACAGGACACTGGGCTAGATGGACCTTTAGTCTGACCCAGTACGGCCGTTCTTATGTTCTTATGTTCTAGATAGGATTGCTTAGGAACTCTTCTCTCTTTGTCCATTTGAATGGTCTCAGTTCCATTCTTTCTTTTCCTCTCGTCTATCTCCTGCCCCCTTCTTTGTCTCTTCTTGAAACTAAACAGTCCCTGTCTCTCCATTCTGCCTGCGTATGGCAACCTCTCCCCTTATAGCTTGTCATGGAAACTCCTTTTTTATCTGTATCATTTACAGAGACGGGGTGAGGAAACCAGAGCAGGTTCTTGTTGACCCCTTCCTTAGGCATCTCAAGATTGGTTTTGTTTTGCCTCCTGCTGCCAATGAATTGTTACCATTGGTGCCCGGGTCTTTTCCTTGATGTTTCTTCTAGCTGGGATGTTTTTCCCAGCACCTGTCTTGGCAAAGCTGTTCAGTTTTTCCATTCCCCAATTTTGAGTCTCCAGGGCTGTGTCTACACTGGGCCACTTATTCTGGAAAATCAGCCGCTTTTCCGGAATAAGCTGCAAGCTGTCTACACTGGCCCTTGAATTTCCGGAAAAGCAACGATGCTCTACTGTACAAAATCAGCCGCTATTCCGGAAAAACTATGCTACTCCCGCTCGGGCATAAGTCCTTATTCCGGAACACTGTTCCGGAAAAGGGCCAGTGTAGACAGCCCAGTAGTCTTTTCCGGAAAAAAGCCCCGATCGCGAAAATGACGCTCAGGGCTCTTTTCCGGAAAAGCGCGTCTACATTGGCCACGGACGCTTTTCCGGAAAAAGGGCTTTTCCGGAAAAGCAGCCTGCCAATGTAGACGCTCCTTTTCCGGAAATACTTATGATGAAAACTATTCCATTTTAAGCAGTTCCGGAAATTCATGCCAGTGTAGAGACAGCCCAGGGGAATGGGGAACTCCTCACGATGTGTAGGAATTGTCATTGGGAGGGTCTGGCTTTTTATCATACATTTCTCTGAATAATGAAAAGGTGTGAGTGATAGCCAATCTCCTTCAGCCATGAGACCAGCCTCCTGTAGCGCATGGTCGTGCCTCATAGTTACATTGTCTCTCCACTCAGGTGTCTGTACCGGGACCATCGTCCTAGACCCTCGGCACACACAGGAAGTCAGTGGAATGTACAGTGCTTGCAGAAGACCCTGTTCTGCCTCAAAGTTTCACCCCTTCCCCCCAACCGTATGCCAGAGTCCAATGCAACCGACTTCACCAACCCCTCCATCTTCATCCTGCAGGGCATCCCTGGCCTGGAAGCAGCCCATGTCTGGATCTCCATCCCCTTCTGTGCCATGTACATCATCGCCATCTTAGGGAACTTCACCATCCTGATCATTGTGAAGAAGGAACCCAGCCTCTATGGGCCCATGTACTATTTCCTCTGCATGCTGGCCATCAATGATCTGATCCTGTCTACATGTATCCTGCCCAAAATGCTGGCGATCTTCTGGCTCAATTCCAGGGAGATCAGTTTCAGTGCCTGCCTCACCCAGCTGTACATCATTCATGGCTTCTCAGTGATGGAGTCGGGACTCTTTGTGGCCATGGCGCTGGATCGCTACGTGGCCATCTGTGATCCCCTGAGACATTCCACCATCCTGACAAACTCTGTGGTAGCCAAGATCAGCCTGGCCGTGGTGCTACGTGGCGGCGTACTTGTATTGCCCTACCCTTTCCTGGTGAAGCGATGGCTGTACTGCAGAACCAACATCATCCCCCAACCGTACTGCACGCACATTGGTGTGGTGAACCTGGCCTGCGGTGATATCCGCATCAGTAGTTACTATGGCCTCTTTGTGCAGTTCTGTGTGATGGGGCTGGATGTAGTTTTCATTGCTCTGACCTACACCCAGATCCTCAGGGCCATCTTCAGTCTCCCCACAAAGGACGCCCGGCTCAAGACTTTTGAAACTTGTGTCTCCCACCTCTGCGCCATCTTGATCATTTACATCCCAGGCCTCTTCTTCTCCCTCACACAGCGATTTGCCCAGAATGTGCCCCTGCCTTTCCACGTCCTCATTGCTAATCTGTCCCTCTTGATGCCCCCCATGCTAAACCCCATCATCTATGGGGTGAAGACCAAAGAGATCCGGGGCAGGCTGCTCCGTCTCTTCTCTCAGAAAGGGACCTAACGTTTTCTTCTCTTGCTCTGGCTCTGGCATGCTGCTCTGTGGCGAGCTGTCTGGTGAGATGGTGCTGGGACCTCTTCCCCGAATCGCTGACTGGGCAAGCGACAACAGCCATTGGTCCATGTACATCTCATTAGCTCATTTGATTGCTAGCTTTGTAGTTGTCAGTGACTGGACCCCTGAGGCACGGCACCCTGCCCCATCTATTGCCCCAAAGCCCTGCCCTCTTCCCACCTCTTTCTCCTAAACTTACTCTCCTGCCTAGCCTATTCCCCCAAGTAGCTGCCCCCTTCTCCAACTCTTCCCCAAGTCCTGTCCTCTTTGCTGTCTCTTGCCACAAAGTCCAGCCCTGTGCTCACTCCTCTCCTCCACAGCCCCAGGTCAATCCTTGGATCATTACCCCCCTCCTCATGCCCCGCTGGGCTCCCTCTGCTCCAGGGCTGGGACAGGAGCTGCTGCAGCCTGACAAGGAGCCTGCCATGAAGGCCGTGAGGACAAGCCAGGCAGGAATGGAAGCCATATAGAAGCAACTGAGGGCTGGGAACAGGGTTGTGAGGCAGGTGGGGGAAGCTGTGCTCATATAGCCTGTGGGCCCCACAGCTCAGCTACAAAGTCCTGAAAAAAGAGAGCTTTATGTGGCTCATTTCCGTAGCTTTCCATCCCCTTTGGTTCCCCTGGCTGGAGGCTGGAAGCAGGCTGGGTCCCTGCACTGTGAATTGGGTGGGAGGCCTTTGCCCTGTGCCGGGCTGCAGGGGCAGGAGCCAGCTTTGAAGCTAGAGGGACATTGCCTGAGAGCAGCAGAAGGACAAGCCCTGCATTACTGGGGAAGGCGGGCTGCTGAGCAGAGACCGGGGTGGCTACCAGGGAGGGAGATAAATGGCCCCTCTTCCATTAGCCGGCTATGCACACACGCGTCCGGCACCTTCTCTGGAACTCTTGGGCACCCAGGAGCCGAGTCCAACACAGACTCAACATGATGACTGGGCACCTAGGAGCTCTTGGCCAGGCTGCTCAGTGGTGTTATCCCTTCTGTTGCTGTTGTAACCCTGGGGGCTGTAGGTGATGATCAGGGGTAATGACCGTCACTCTCAGTCCATGGGGGACAGGCCAATCCTTGCCTATCGACAGCCCCCGAGTCTGAAGCAAATCATTTCCAGAGCCCACACACCACGCCTTTGATACACTCACCTACCCCTGCAACAAACCCCATTGTTCACACAGCTCTACAAGCGACACCATCACAGGATGTAAACATGCAAGCCACCACATCAGGGCTCATACACCTGCACAATGTGATCTATGCCATGGATATTGGCCAAACTGGACAGTCTCTGCAACAAAGGAAAAATGGACACAAATCAGACATCAGGAATGGTAACACAGAGAAACCTGTAGGGGAACATTTTATCCTGCCTGGACAATCGTTAATGGACTTTAAAGTCACCATTTTTCTGCAAAGGGAATTTTATCACCCAGTTATAAAGAGAGACTGATGAGCTAAAATTTATTTCCAAGTTTGACACTACCAGCTTGGGCTTGAATAAAGATATTAATTGGTTAATGCACTTCAAAGGCAATTTCCCCTGTCTTTGATATTCGCATTTACACACCAAGAGCTATGAATGCGTGTTATCCAGCCTGACTCAATTAGTGTCATTAACACTTATCCTACAATTTACAGGTAACTGCTTTTGTATATATACTGTACATATACGCCGGGTTCTGTCATTTCCACTCTAACTCAACTGAGGAAGTGGGTTTTAACCATGAAAACTCATGATATATTTGTTGTCTGTGAGTCACTCCTAGCGCAGCACCGGATAGCTTGTTGTTCCACCAGGCTACAGCCAGCTTACATCACTTTTGCACAAGAGATGTACTTTTGTGTAAGAACATCCATGGCAGTGTGGACACTCTCTTGTGCGAGAATGCTCTGATGACCATTTTAGCCATAGGGGTTTCTTGCACAAGAAACCCCAGTTGCCTGTCCACATTGCTTTCTTCCACAAGAGCTCTTGCGCAAGAGGGCGTTTTCCTCGTGGGGAGAGGAATAACTCTTGCACAAGAAGCTCTCTGTTCCGATGCCTTACTGCAAATTTACTTGCATAAGAACATGTGTGCAGTGTAGATGCTCCGCAAGTTTTTGCACAAGAATGGCTGTTCTTGCACAAAAAGCCTGCAGTGCAGATGTGGCCTTAGCGATTTCAACTCTTAGCCACTCCCTAGGCTGACCAAAAGCTTCCATCTTCCACTGGAATAACAAAGAGACTCCTTATGGAGTCTGCTTTTAGGTCTGTCCTTAGAACAAGGGGGAAAGGAGACAGGTTGAACCAGTCTTACAGCTCACACCTGGCAGGCATGAAGCTGGCTGCTTCAAGCCTCTTCCCCCAACTCATCTCACTCCAATCTGGGGGGGGGCTTGTTCACCTGAGACCCTGTACAATGATGGTGTCTCTCCTGCAAGCACTGGTGTCATATTTTAAGTTCCTACATTCAGGGGTAGCATGGTTTGTGACCCCACAACAGCCAAATTAGCTACAATAAATCCCATTCCATTCCAACAACTGATCCTCCATCAGGCCTGGCTGAATTGGATTTACAGAACCGCACCCCGGATTCCTTCCCATCCCGGCATGAGCTGTATTTACATCTCTACAGTTAATTCTCTTGCAGGGCTAAACACTTTGAATGAGCGTGCCCACACTCAGGGCTCCTCTCCTTTCAGCTGGCAGCATTGCAAGCAGTTCTTCGACCCTGCTTACACATCATTTGCATTGCTGTAAAATGGAGTCGTGGAGGGGTGTCCGTGGCCGGACCAGGGGGAGTGGGAAGTCCAGTAAGTGACTGAGCTTAGTCCATTGTCATGGGTGTGCGGACGCTAGTGTAACTGTACACATGGACCAGGGGCACTACGACGGGGCTTCGTTGACAATCAACCTGGCCAAGTGTCTTCTCCCCTTCACCGATGCTGTGGTAATCTGGCGGTTCTCTTGCTGTGACAACTACCTGTGCAGAGCTGTAACAGCCTGGAGAGGGAATGTTCAGCAACACCAGCCCCCCTTTTAGGATTCCTTGTAATGGATTTGTGGTGTTCCCTCCCTCTCTGGGCTTGTGGGAGGCCGTTCTTCCTCACCACATCACTGGGTATTGCTCACAGTTAGGGTATGTCTACACTAGCCGCCCTAGTTCAAACGAGGGTGGCTAATGTAGGCATTCGAACTTGCAAATGAAACCCAGGATTAAAATATCCTGGGCTTTATTTCCATGTTCCAGGGCGCCACCATTTTTAAATGCCCGGTAGTTCGGACTCCCTGCCTGCTGTTACACGCAGTACGGGCTAGGTAGTTCGAACTAAACCCCCTAATTCGGACTACCATTACTCCTCCTGCAATGAGGACCATGATGTTTCCACTAAGACGGCACGTGATACCATTTTGCACAAGATCTGCTGCAATTTCCTGAGAGAGGAGATTGTGGGGTGCCAGGATGTTGCTTTGGGGGACAGCTGATCACAGCAACGTATCTCTTAAAAGAGAGCTCTGTGAGATATAATTTTGCATTTTTGTATGAGAGGTCCGTAGCCTGAAGGCCCTACCACCAACCAAATATTGGGCCTGCCTCTGATGAGTCTGGCCCTGCTCACATGGTCACTGTATGACACGTTTCCACTCAGCTCTGCACGGCTTAGGCCTCATTCTTACATTCGTGTGTTCGCCGTCGGTACTAACAATCTCCACCAGCTCCTGGCCTGTGT